TTCATATGGCCAGGGAAGACATCGGGAGGGAAATTAATATTTCACATTTGATGTAAATATTTTTACATCACATATTTTATTATTATGGACGGAGCACAAAGCATCGTCTTTTTATATACTTATCGTAAATACATGTGTTTAACATTGTTCTGAGAATTTTCCTTAATGATATTCCTATGGCGTAGCCACGAATTCCAATAGTTCTGCGCTTAATCCCTAATTTTGATTCCTCGTTATGTGAAACAACAGTTATATACCATCGAGGAGAAGTTTCCTCTGCTACTGCGTTGCGCACGTGTAACCACGTTAAAAGAATTTCACAAACATTCTTTTATAATAATATATATATCTCAGTTATACGTATATAATAAAAATACTTATGACAGATGCGGATCATATCGATTTACACGCACCATCGTTTATTAAAACTTAACGTTAACTTGAAACACAAGAAAATAGTCGAAAATACTTTAACAAACCTAAACATAGCCATTCCTATCGTATTACTTAACAACTATTCTACATTCTGTTTGGTGGAATTATATGCACGTAATGTGAAATAAGAATAAACATGGGAATGAAATTTCTAGGCAATATGTCCGTCCCTCTGAGATTAATATTATTATTCTCGCACGAGGAAAATCAATAGAACCTAGTCTAGAGAATATATTTCTCGTCCTAAAATTAATTTTATTTCTAAGCCAGACGAAATCAATATTTTCATCGTATTTTTCCTCTCGTTTTTTTTTTTTTTTTCTTTTTCAGCTACTTCTCTTTCCAACTTTCGATGAACATTATATACCCATATTGCCTAGCTACGTCAGACGAAAACCAAACGTTATCTCATAAATCTTTCACTCCGTCACTCCTCAAATCTGACAATTAACGTTCAAGTAAGGAAAGAAAAACTTGATCAATGTCAAGAAAAAAGAAGATTGAAGCAAACCGGTTATAGGTATGTGCACGGCAACACGTTTCGACTTATCTATGTCTAATTGTAAGATAAACTATAGAAAACAGATAAATTGTAAGTATATAGTTTTTAGATATGTGCTCTCTCTCTTTCTCTCTCTCTCTCTCTCTCTCTCTTTTATTGGCTTATATCAAAACGAACAATCCAACAAACAGTGCTTAAACTTATTGTCTTTATGCAAATTCTCAAAGTGCTCGTGATCGTTTTTTTAACTGGTGGACATTTTAAAAATTGATAAACTATGATTTCTAGTAACAATATAAACTTGCGTGTCTCGGGATTTTCGGCTTCCGTTTAAATATCTTTCTCGCCCTCTCATTCGCAACATACAGCAATGAACAAAAATATTCGCACAGGCTAGGCTTTTTTTTTTTCTTTTTTTTTTTGCAAAATCTTGTGTAAAAGTTTGCGTAAACTTATGACTCCTTGCTTGGACTTCTTTTCTTTCTTTCTTTCCTTCTTTTAAAGTAACTTTCAAATCTAAAGAAACGTAATATTTTGATTACTGCAAAGTCGAAAGGAGAGTCGATTCTAAAACTATGCTTTGTTGCCTTCTCCAGTCTCTAATGAATTAAAACAAAAAAATCGATATCAGAGAAATCTCTCCAACTCTCCTGTACTTTTTATAATTCTATCAAAAATGTCAATGAAATGTCTTGTGTTTGAAAAACGTTCGGATAAAGAGTCGTTTTCTCAAGCAACATTTTAAGCTAATCTGTGCCAACACTTTCATTCGTCATGGTGTACGTGAATATATACAGAACGAGAATCAACGATAAAACATTTCGTTAACACGGCAATGATGATTAAACAGGAACATGAATACTTTTCTATCATCAAATGCACCGAAAAATATTACAAGATGACACTTCGCTGGAACAGATATCTTCGTCGGTCGTTCTCAACTAGTCTGCAGGATGGCTAATTTTAATTTACACGTTTATACTGGAGGAAGTACAGCAGAGAGCTGAATTCGGAGAATTTTCAAGGATTATTTTCCTTCATTTCCTTCTCGTACGTAAAAAAAGTTCATAGAAGAAATTTATCATAAATACATGGTGGTGTAATTTTAATAGACACATACAAATGAGGTGAAACTCAACGATCTTAGAATGAAAAGTATACGATTACTGTTTGAATAATTTCTGACTGAGTAAATAATTAATAAAACGCGTTTCGTTTCCAAATTTTGAAATAAAAATAGTCCAAAGAGAGATGAAATTTCTTCTTCAAAGAATTTTTACTTTACACGATTTGTACAATCCTTAAAAATCCATTTTATCCCTACCGACACAGCAATAATTTCATTTG